AGAGTACAGACTGGAGGAGGCGGCAGGGGATGGAAGGGCCTAGCTCAAAAGGTGTGGAATCCATCTGCAGGGGGGCTGATGAGGGCCTGGAGCTGGGCAGGAGGAATGGGGAAGGGAGGGGGGCTTCCAGAGAGCAAAGGGGTGGGCTTGTGACTCAGCCTAGAGGTTAAACACTGAGCTTCGGTGGCAGACATGAAGCCCCTCTGCCCAGCTAAGTCACCCTGGCTCGTTTCTTCACTTCTTTGGGACCCAGTTTCATCATCTAAAAAATAAGCTGAACAATAGTCCCTTGATGGCAGCTCATAGCAAGCATTCAATAAATATAAAGTAAAAACATTTTGTGGGACAAATAATATATTCCACTGGGTAGCATTTACCAAGAAAAGAAATTAGCAGGAAGAATAGGTCTAGATTATAAATTTGATTTTAGACACACTGACTATAAGGTACATGTGGAGCAGCCAGACTAGAAAATTGATAAAACACTGAATTTGGGTGTGGCACAAATGGCAGAATTTCCAGGATCTCCCACTTGGCCTTAGTCCATTTACGTATCAATAGGGGTGTGCTGCTGCGGCCTCTCACAGCCTCCAGGCAGGGGATGGAGAAAACTGTCATTCTCTCCTCCCCTCCGTTGGGGGTACATAATTGGTCTGGCGTTTGCCAGTCACCAAGGACCTGCTGATGGCGTTCCTCCCAGGAGGGGCAGATGGGAAGTAAAAAGCATGCATGGCTGCAGAGTGGGAGCTGCAGCCGGAGAAAATGGATGGTCCTGAGCCTGGCCAGCAAATTTGAGCAAGGTGTGAGCAATAGAAACAGTTTCTTCCCAACCTACCCTTTTCCCTTGACTTATTTCAGTTTTACCAGTTTCACAGGGGATTCACCTGGGCCGGGAACACCCTTGCCCGAGGAGCTACACTGGGATTTGGGAGTGAGACGAAGCCCAGGGGTGAGGAAAGCTGCTTGGGTGTGAAGGCCAGTGGTACAGCCGGTGTCTGGGGGAACCCAATGCCCAGGGCCCAGGGCCCACAGAGGAGTGGGTAGGTCAGAGCAGAAAACAACCAGCCATGGAAAGGGCAGTTCAGAACACAGTGGCAAGAACCTCAGGACAGAGGAAGCTTCAAGAGGAGGGTTGTGATCGGTATTAAACACATCATGTGTGTGTCCAAATGCTGGAGTGACCGAGGAACAGTCACATGGGCTGGGTAGCACAGAGGCCCTGTGTTCACTGAGCTGGCGGGCTGGACACCACCTGGGCACACATGTAGGAGGGACTGGGGCATGAGGAGTGGGAGTGACAGCTGGGAGGGAGGAGGGTCATGTCAGACCTGAACTGAAGAGGACTGCGCATCTACTGTTCCCATAAAGAAGGGAGGTCGGAGTCACCACACCCAGCGAGCTCACACTCTGGTGACTGGGGCAAAGCTGTGGACAGAGGGCGCTGCCTGGGAAAAGGCGCCCCCGTGGGTGCGTGGGCAGTGTTCTGGGCCAGAGAAGGAGAAGCACCCTCCAGGTTTGAGACTCCGGCACCCCCACAAAGGTAGGGCCATGGAGGCTGCTGAGGAGAATCACTGCATCAGGGCCCTGAAGCAGAAACTTCAGGAGAAGTTAGCCAGAGTCCCTAGAGTTAGCCAGAGAACCGGACCCAGATGCCCCCTGAGTGAAGAACTGTGTCTTTCCTTTTGTTCTCTCTCTGGCCAGCCTGGCCCAAGCTGTATAGATGCACTGCCCTGCGGCTAGCCCTGGAGAAGGCTAGCTCTATGACCAGAGACACCAAGAAAGGGTCCCTGGCAGCCAAACACTGTGGGCAAAATCCCCATTATTATTTCTTTCTTTTCTCTTGCACACTGCCCTAAAGATGGCTCCAGTTGCACAGAATGCACAACCATGGAGGGGCACTCAAACCCCTGTCTTTGTGAGAAACCTGTCTTTCTGGCCAGAGGAACTTAGAAAGGGACCCCCTAATTCTGTACGGGAACTGATACAAGTCATGGGATCACCACTGTGCTCAGCACGTACGGGGAAGACACAGAGAAGCATACTGCACAGGCCCCAAGAACTGAACTACACAATAAACCACCACCTAAATCCTAGCACAGCCCCTGAGGGGGGCACGCAGGGGGCAGACACAGAGAAGCAGCACAAAGCATGCCAGAGGCTTGGAGAACCAGTGCTCACGGAAGCACGGACAGAATCTGCAGCATGAATCTAACTAGGCTGACTGCATGCCAAGGAAAGAACAGGAACGAAAACAACCTTCTTCAGAGAATTTTAACAGGATACAAAGTCTCAAAACATAATACAACAAAAGTCCCCAATGAATCAATATACAAAACAAACAGATGAAAAACCCAACAACTGAAAACCAGGAAAATCTGACCAATTTTCAAGGGAAAAGACAATCAACCAAAGCCTATCCCAAGGTGACCCAGATACTGGGATCATTGGGCAAACACTTTCAGGCAGACATTGTAACATGTATGCTGTTGAGCCCCAGAAGAAGAGAAAGACACAGGCACAAAAAAAATATCTGATGGAATTGCTACAAACTTCCCAGATTTGGTGCTCTAAAATACACAAAGCAAACACCGAAAAAGAAAAGAGACAAATCTCTAATTATATGTGGCGACTGTACCATTTCTCTCTCAGTTAGGGAGAGAGCAAGACAAAGATCAGAAAGGATACGGAAGACATGAGCAGTCCTACCAGCCAGCCGAGCCAGTTTCATCTAACCAACCTTTATAGACTCCACACAGCAGCAGCATTACACACATTCTTTTCAAGTGCACATGGAACATTTACCAAGACAGACCATCATCTGCAACATAAAACAAGTTTCAAAGACCTGAACACATACAAAATATGTTTTCAGAATGCTATGGAATTAAACTAGAAACCAGTAATAGAAAGGTATCTGGGAAATCCCAAATATTTGGAAATTAAATACTTCTAAGAAACTACAGGTCAAAGGAATTCTGAAAGGATATTAGAAAATATTTTCAACTGAATGAAAATACATTTCAAAATTTGCAGGATGAGGCCAATAAAGTGCTTAGAGGGAAATTTAAAGCATCAAATGCTTATATTGGAAAAGAAGAAAGGTCTAAATCAGCAATCTAACCTTTCATTTTTAAGAGACTTGGGGTGGGAGAAAGCAAATTACAACCCAAAGCAAGCACAAGGAAGAAAATGATAAAGGTAAGAGCAGAAACAATGAAATTGAAAACAGAAAATATAAAGAAATCAATGAGACCGAAAGGTAGTTCTTTGAAAAGATCAATGGAATTGATAATCCTCTAGTTTGGCTAGCCAGGATGAGAGGACAGGTGACACAAATGGCCAATTTCAGGGAGAAAAGGGACGATCACTACGGATCCTACAAACTTTTAGAGAGTAACTGGGAATATTGCCAGCAACTGTTAGAGAACCAACAGGTTCTGACCCCAGAGAGCCTATCGCAGCACAGTGAGAACAGCTCTGGAGCAGACCTGAACGGGCCGTCATGAGAGACGGGCAGGACTGCACTGAAGGAGCAATGGAGGAGGGTGCACAGGAGCAGCGGGCAGACAACCCTCAGAAGGCATAAGGACCACGAATGGGGCGGCAGTGACTACTGAGGAGAGGCGTGGCTTCTCGGAGGAGGAATCAGGCCCACCTTTAAGGGCTGAGAGGTGCAGGAGAGACAGGCGAGCTAGTCATCATGTCCTGTGCAGCAGAAAGGGAGGGACCAGCGCACAGTGAGATGCTGACCGTGCACAAGTCAAACGCTTTTCCCTGAACCAGGCAGGGATACACTCAGGACAGGCAGGAGTACCGATGAGGACTTGGTAACAACATCAGGCTTATCATGACAGAGTCTCACAGTTCTTTGCCAAACAGACTGCAAAGAACAAAGATTCTACAATAGAATATTACCAGTAAGTAGGTTATTTAAGTCATGTGAATTGCAGAAAAGCAAAAAAAAACAAAACAAAACCCTAGACTTGTGATATTCTAGTGCATGGGTCTGTGAACTTTTTCTGTGTAGGGCCAGAGAGTAAAGATTTTAGGCTCTGCAAGCCAAGAGGCAAAAACAAAGTTATTACGTAAATTAAAGGTGAGAAAACTCCCCTTCCTGGCCTTAACTCCTGTGGTTGGCCATGTGGGATCCAAGAAAAACATGCTCAGGACGAAAAGCTACTGGCCTGAAGAGGAGCTCCTGGGGAGCCTGGCTGACAGGGTAGCCCAGGTCCATTTTGCTTTTTGCTCCAGGGCCCCCCAGAACCTGATGTGCCCTTCTCTCCTCCTGAGAATCTGATGGCCTCAATTTGGTCACCTTGCTGGAGGCTAAGCAACTTTGTAGTTGCTGACTGAAATTCCACTGACTGCATGCCTGGTAATTCTCAAAGGTCGTCAACACGTAGGTGGCCACCAGCCAGCCCCTCACTGGGATTGAGGGGGCACGGCCATTTGGTCTCTAGAACTCACAGAGCTGGTCCCCTCCATCAGTGCACGGCTGTACAGACACAGGTTGAGGGATGGATTTGGCCTAGAGGCTATAATTTAGTGGCTCCTTTTCTCACACCTCTAAAATCCTCAAAGATAAGCTTGAAGGACAATCTTTAAAAATATGAATAGCACAAAATTTCCTTATCAAAATGTAAGGTTTAATACTTGAACCTAATGTTCCCTTTTACACGCACAGTATTTTACATGAGGTTATAAATGACACCTCACATCCACCCCCTCCTTCCTTGGAGTTCACCATCAGCAGTAGGAAATGTAAACAGTGATTTTTCACAGCCTTTTCCTGAGTCAGAAAAGTGTTACTGCTGGAAATAGAAAGCTTTAAAACACAGACTGGTTAAGTTGCATTATTTTTCTGAGGACTCATTATTCTTCCCACGTTAGAGCTGAGTGCTGGAAGCAGGTGAGATATGACTTGTCAATACCTATGAAAACAAGACACAAAAGGGCAAGAAGGGTGCTACTTGTCACGACACCTCCAGGGTGGAGCCCACCTTGATAGATCTTTTCATCTTCGTCAGTCACATAGGCATTGGCTCCACAAATCACCATCTTGCTGATGTAAGACGGGTATTTTGCAGCTGCAATGAGTGCTGTTATACCACCATCACTCCACCCCAGCAAAGAGACCTTCTTGAACTTCAGTGTCTGTGACAAGTACAATCAAGTTCACAGCACAGGTTATGGCTCCTCTGCTAAAAGAACTGATAATCAATAATTGTCACAATCAATACCACGGGATCAGAGTTAAGCTACAGGGTTTGGCATACCAGTTGGCAATTAAGGAAAAATCTTAGGGTCCACCAATTGATGAGAAAATATTTTTTCTCAATTAGCTTTGGTGTAAATAAAATTGTCATAAAAGCCTAAGTACATCATATTGTTTTGAATAAGAAAGGAACTACTTCCTCTGGTTGGATAAAATCTCAAGGAACTGAAAGTAACGGAGATCAGCTGTACTTGGGCAGGACACCAGGTGCACAATACATGCCTGAGTAAAGACTTTGACAACAGTTACGCAGACCAGAGAGGGAAACTTGAGATTGTCTGCGAGGAAATGAAGTCACTGCATCTGGTAAAGCCACTGCCTGCAACCATGGGAAGAACTGGCTAGCAGCAGGCTGAAAAGGAATGGTGTTGTGGGAGGGTATGTTAGCCCTGGGGTGAATTGACCAGCTCTGAAAATGTTGGTGTTGCACAAGGAAAATAAACAAGGATTATATCTGAGAGATGCTGCCTAGAAGTAAAAATAGAATTGGGAAAAATAAATAATAAATATCAGTCCAAGATATGTACTGATGAGACTATAAGTTGGTATCACTACTATGGATAAAAATTTGGCTCTATCTTATAAAGTGAACATTTGCATCTTTTGTAGCCCAGCAAGTCATCAGTCACGTAAATATGGCACTCTTGTGCATGTGCGCTAGGAAATAGGTCCAGCATGTCCACATCAGCACTGTTATAACAAAATAAGAGTACCAAAATGTCCACGGGCAACGTAATCTCCCGTGCACTGCTGTTTATAATTGCAAAAAAAACCAAAAAGCAACTCAAAAATTTTATTTATCTACCATTAGAGGATAGATGAAATAAGGCACAGATACAATGTATTCCATTCTATCATACAATGGAATAGCCTTTTATAAGACTTATGGAAACATATTTATTTCATGCAAGTATCTCCTTGACAAATTGGTCAAAGAGTATAGAAGTTGGAAAAACATTGGTTATAGTATGATACCATCAATAGAAATAAGATTGGCCAGAAAGAGCTACAAAGTCTTGGTAGCAGTCTCTCTAAATAGTTGGACAGTGGGATATTTCCGCTTTCTTCTTTATACCTATTTGAACTCTTTGAATTTTCTATAGGAAACATGCCCTTATAGAAATAAAAAATAAAACCAATATATATGAAGACAGGTTCCCTAAGAGACCCACCTTCATCAAATCAATAGCATCTTTTGCATCCCTTTCAAAAAAGTCCACTGGGAAATCGCGATCAGGGGGTCTGGAATGTCCATATCCTCGCGGATCCCAGGCAACCACTGTGAAGAGCTTCTTATTTAGGTTCTTAATCTGGGGTCCGAAATCAGTCTCTCCACTTCCTAAAAACAGTTGCTTCATTACCCTCAGGTGAATACTTTCATTGTTTCAAACACACTCAATAAAAACAGAAACAGCTACAATTTTTAAACAAAGTACAACTGATCTTGGAATAATGCAGGGTTAGGGATGCCACACCCATGCAGTCAAAAATCCATGTATAACCTTTGATTCCCCCAAACTTAACTTTTAATAGCCTACTATTAATTGAAAGCCTTACTGATAACATGATCGATTAGCACATATTTTGTATGTCGTATGTATTACGTACTATACTCTTACAATAAAGCAAACTAGAGAAAAGAAAATGTTTTTTCAACTTGTCATAAATCTCCAAAAAATTTTCCAATATATTTATTGAAGAAAATTCATGTATATGTGGAATTAGCAAAGTAGCCTTGGAATGACGGAATCCATTTACCCTGAGATGGACTTCTTTCCTGGTGTTCAGACCTGCCTCTTACCTCCCCCTAGTGGCTAATTTGAGAAGAACGACAGAGGCCCTGATTGGTCCAGTGTTACTTTACTTAAGATTAAGCACTTCTGCTTAATCTTCCTTTCAAAAAAAAAAAAAAAGGAATTCATAAAAATGCGTAGCAATGGACTTACTAATACAGTATGCCTCTGGGACATTTTTTTCTTTCTTTTTTTATAATGGCTGTTACAAATGAGAGAGATTCCAACAATATTTGCAGACAAACTTATGCAAGTTGGTCTAAGTTATTCAAAGTAGAATTATAAAACACAGGTGTTTCTTTATTACGCGAATGTGAGGAGCCCTGAAGATTTCCTGGTTATAACTAGACACTAGCCAACTTAACTAAAACACTGAGATGAGGAGGGCAGGGTGTGGTAATAGGTAATTAGATTAGCTTGTTTAATGAAAACAGTATGAAATAGCATATGTTAAGTAGAACTGTGTTCCTGAGCCTGTGGTGGACTTGACGGGCAGCAGTCCCCCCACAAGGTCATGGCCACTGTGGGCACATGTCTACTGTATGTGGCATGGAAGGCTGGACTCTCAATTAGCCCAGTACAGGAACAAATTAGCATTTTATTTTTAAAGTCAGCTTGGTAAGGGCTTGTAGCTTAAGCCACAAATGGATACTAAATATCTTGCTTGATAAACTATCTATATTAGGAAATGTGTTTCAAGATGGTAGAGGATCATTTAACATTATCAAGGACCAGCAGTCTTCCTGACAAGATATACCTTTCTCAACATCAGGTAATTCTTTCAGAAAACCCACGCCAAAAACATGAGTGGATCTCAAGTTCACGTCTGCCACTCTGACACACAAAACTTCTCCGATGGACCCTGAACTGGAGGGGCTTCCGCACGGGAACTACCCCAAAGGAGGGGCAGGAGATGAGGAGGGGGAAGTGGGCACTCTAACTCAAGACCAACTTAGGAAATAATAAAGCACTTGCTCTCTGGCACACAGATACACATTTGAAGACCAGTGCCAAGAATTCTAAAACCTTAAGAAATTATTTTAAGGAATAGTAACCAGAACATGACACCTGAGAAGGAAACACACCAACACTGGTTGCCTGTGGGGAGGAGAACCAGGTGTTGGAGGGCAGGGGGTTTGAGGGAAAGAGTCTCACTGTTTGATTTTTAAATCAGGTTAATGTTTTACCTGTATTTTATGCCTGGATAACAATAGCAATCCTGAAATAATGGAAAAATCAGAGCTGGTAAACTATCCATTGCTTTTACAAATAACTTTAGCTGTACACTAGCCATTGCAGTAAATATCCTCCTTTACTATAATAGCTTATGGGAAAAAAAGATACTAAATATTATCTAGACAAAGATGCTTTAGTCGCTACAATGGCACCACAATCAGATGAAGCTCAATCAGTGGAACCATCAAGTAACTGGAATTTTAGCATTTTACTTTAAGGAGAAAAAAAGAACATCTTAAGGAAATAAGTATACATTGGGATTATTTAACTAAATTAAGAATAAAACAATACTAAAACCTTTAAATTTGAGACGTCCTGGGATAACTGGAAATGTTCCCCTTGAACTTTCTACATGTCAAAACTTATCTGTAAAATGAGACCGAGATCCAGGTGGCTTTACTATATGCCATTCATGCTAATTTAATCCTGATTTTTCAAAGAGGCTTTAAACTAAATTTTGTTCCTAGCTATTATTTTAATTGCATATACAATCAACCACAACAGGGTGATCAATCTATCTTCTAGCACTGAAAGTCTGGCATCCTGGCACCCCTAATTCCAAGCAAACTGGGATGGCTGGTCACTGGCTCATCTTCTTCCTTCATCTCCCCCTTCTTCCCATACCCCTTTCCTTGACTCCTGTCATTCCCACATTACCATAATCCCTGCCAAATTGTAGGCAACTACATGTTATACTGGCATGGGAAAAACTGGGTATATAAATAAATAAATACATACATACATAGAATGTTATCTTTCTAAATCACCTACATTTGAGTGTAGCAAACATTACGTAAAACATTTCAGCAAAGCACTAAAATCAATACTAAATATTTGGCATCTGCTACTGTGAATGCATCACAGACTACGCAGCATGCAAGAGCATCCCACGGAGACCCTACAGACCCAGCATTCCGGGAAGCAGCAGGACGGCGTGCTCTCCCTCTCCAGTCTGCTGATAATGCAGGTGGACCCCATTCACAGACACTTTGGCATTGGTTACTGAGGTGCTGGAAGAGAAAAATCCCACCCCCAAAGGAAAATTACTTAGCAGTACAAATGCAGTATGTGTAACTGCCCTATTATATATATGAATCAGCTCTAGGACCCTCCTCAGGCTGCTTGGATGATGTTGCTTAGTACTTAGGTTTTCCAAACCTGAAAAGGGACAGGGATTTGTGTCTTCCCTATTAACCTACAGCTCTGGACTGTCTTCATGTTTGAACATCCTAGAGCACCAGCCCAGGCTAACTCTACAAAAACAACGAGATGCTTATGGAATCAATGGCCATACAGGCCCCTGGGCACTTGCCAGGTGAGCTGGAAGCCAGTGGTGCCAGCGCAGGCTGACGCAGAAGCTCCACACAATGTAATGAAATGGGGAGCATCAGCATCCCAGACCCCGGGGCCATTCCCCTGCACCTTAGCGGGTCTAGATGAGCTACCTGGACTTTCAACTGCCTTAGCCGCATTCCCAAGGATGAGGTTGGTCTCAGAGGTGCACAGGGAAGGAAAAAAAAAAAAAAGGAATTCATAAAAATGCGTAGCAATGGACTTACTAATACAGTATGCCTCTGGGACATTTTTTTCTTTCTTTTTTTATAATGGCTGAACAAATGAGAGAGATTCCAACAATATTTGCAGACAAACTTATGCAAGTTGGTCTAAGTTATTCAAAGTAGAATTATAAAACACAGGTGTTTCTTTATTACGCGAATGTGAGGAGCCCTGAAGATTTCCTGGTTATAACTAGACACTAGCCAACTTAACTAAAACACTGAGATGAGGAGGGCAGGGTGTGGTAATAGGTAATTAGATTAGCTTGTTTAATGAAAACAGTATGAAATAGCATATGTTAAGTAGAACTGTGTTCCTGAGCCTGTGGTGGACTTGACGGGCAGCAGTCCCCCCACAAGGTCATGGCCACTGTGGGCACATGTCTACTGTATGTGGCATGGAAGGCTGGACTCTCAATTAGCCCAGTACAGGAACAAATTAGCATTTTATTTTTAAAGTCAGCTTGGTTTCTGAGGGCTTGTAGCTTAAGCCACAAATGGATACTAAATATCTTGCTTGATAAACTATCTATATTAGGAAATGTGTTTCAAGATGGTACAGGATCATTTAACATTATCAAGGACCAGCAGTCTTCCTGACAAGATATACCTTTCTCAACATCAGGTAATTCTTTCAGAAAACCCACGCCAAAAACATGAGTGGATCTCAAGTTCACGTCTGCCACTCTGACACACAAAACTTCTCCGATGGACCCTGAACTGGAGGGGCTTCCGCACGGGAACTACCCCAAAGGAGGGGCAGGAGATGAGGAGGGGGAAGTGGGCACTCTAACTCAAGACCAACTTAGGAAATAATAAAGCACTTGCTCTCTGGCACACAGATACACATTTGAAGACCAGTGCCAAGAATTCTAAAACCTTAAGAAATTATTTTAAGGAATAGTAACCAGAACATGACACCTGAGAAGGAAACACACCAACACTGGTTGCCTGTGGGGAGGAGAACCAGGTGTTGGAGGGCAGGGGGTTTGAGGGAAAGAGTCTCACTGTTTGATTTTTAAATCAGGTTAATGTTTTACCTGTATTTTATGCCTGGATAACAATAGCAATCCTGAAATAATGGAAAAATCAGAGCTGGTAAACTATCCATTGCTTTTACAAATAACTTTAGCTGTACACTAGCCATTGCAGTAAATATCCTCCTTTACTATAATAGCTTATGGGAAAAAAAGATACTAAATATTATCTAGACAAAGATGCTTTAGTCGCTACAATGGCACCACAATCAGATGAAGCTCAATCAGTGGAACCATCAAGTAACTGGAATTTTAGCATTTTACTTTAAGGAGAAAAAAGAACATCTTAAGGAAATAAGTATACATTGGGATTATTTAACTAAATTAAGAATAAAACAATACTAAAACCTTTAAATTTGAGACGTCCTGGGATAACTGGAAATGTTCCCCTTGAACTTTCTACATGTCAAAACTTAGCTGTAAAATGAGACCGAGATCCAGGTGGCTTTACTATATGCCATTCATGCTAATTTAATCCTGATTTTTCAAAGAGGCTTTAAACTAAATTTTGTTCCTAGCTATTATTTTAATTGCATATACAATCAACCACAACAGGGTGATCAATCTATCTTCTAGCACTGAAAGTCTGGCATCCTGGCACCCCTAATTCCAAGCAAACTGGGATGGCTGGTCACTGGCTCATCTTCTTCCTTCATCTCCCCCTTCTTCCCATACCCCTTTCCTTGACTCCTGTCATTCCCACATTACCATAATCCCTGCCAAATTGTAGGCAACTACGTGTTATACTGGCATTGGGAAAAACTGGGTATATAAATAAATAAATACATACATACATAGAATGTTATCTTTCTAAATCACCTACATTTGAGTGTAGCAAACATTACGTAAAACATTTCAGCAAAGCACTAAAATCAATACTAAATATTTGGCATCTGCTACTGTGAATGCATCACAGACTACGCAGCATGCAAGAGCATCCCACGGAGACCCTACAGACCCAGCATTCCGGGAAGCAGCAGGACGGCGTGCTCTCCCTCTCCAGTCTGCTGATAATGCAGGTGGACCCCATTCACAGACACTTTGGCATTGGTTACTGAGGTGCTGGAAGAGAAAAATCCCACCCCCAAAGGAAAATTACTTAGCAGTACAAATGCAGTATGTGTAACTGCCCTATTATATATATGAATCAGCTCTAGGACCCTCCTCAGGCTGCTTGGATGATGTTGCTTAGTACTTAGGTTTTCCAAACCTGAAAAGGGACAGGGATTTGTGTCTTCCCTATTAACCTACAGCTCTGGACTGTCTTCATGTTTGAACATCCTAGAGCACCAGCCCAGGCTAACTCTACAAAAACAACGAGATGCTTATGGAATCAATGGCCATACAGGCCCCTGGGCACTTGCCAGGTGAGCTGGAAGCCAGTGGTGCCAGCGCAGGCTGACGCAGAAGCTCCACACAATGTAATGAAATGGGGAGCATCAGCATCCCAGACCCCGGGGCCATTCCCCTGCACCTTAGCGGGTCTAGATGAGCTACCTGGACTTTCAACTGCCTTAGCCGCATTCCCAAGGATGAGGTTGGTCTCAGAGGTGCACAGGGAAGGCCCTGATCCCAGGCAGTCCTCTAAGCATACGGCTTCTCATGATCCCAGCCAGCTGCAGAAAGGCTCTTGCCAGGAATACCTGTCTGCACTAATATGACCAAACTGGTTTTTAAGATGTTGAAATATTTCTATGTTGACTGTTAAATAATATGAGCCAGGTCCACAGCTTCCATCTCAAGAGCCCTCCCTGTGCCTCTGACCCTCCTTGGCCCAAGATCTCCCATGCCGCAGCATCTAACTGGACATGCCCGGCAGAGGAGAATGCCTCGGGCCAGGACTACTGCCAGTGCCTGTTCCGACTGAATGATGCATGTACCATACTAAGCATTCCGCTCTGATGAACCTGTCCTCTGCTGCTCTTCCAGAAGCTCCAGAATGACTAAGCAGGAATACACAGAGCACATACAACATCCCTGCCCAAAGATCCTCCCCAACTTCCCAGATATCTGGGTGACATGCAGAAGGAACTTTATGGATGCTGGAATCTGCTGGAAGGAGCCACTCCTCTTCTCCCAGCAGGATGCTAATGAACTTAAATCAACCACTGCCTCCCTTTTCCTTTTTCATATTCTCTACTCCTGTATTAGCCCTTAGTCAAAATCATTACTGAAATGCAGCACCTTTGGAAAAAAAATGAGGTTTAGTTTCTCTTTTGATTTCATCTCATCCACCACTTTCAAATGAGAAAGGGCACAGAAACAAGTGTTAAATACAGGTACATAAATCTTAACACAATTTCTGTGTCAAGGTGATAAAGCCTCACATTAACTATAAGCTCATTACCTATAGAAATACCAGAGGAGCAATAAAGATAAAGCCACTGAGCAATAGTAGTATCACATTGCCACCAAGTTACTTTTCACTAATGTCCTATTTTTCTGAGTAATTCATCTTTATTGCTAAGATGGCTCTGGGATCAAGATAAAAGCAAATAATACTCTTCTTGTAAGGATTCATTTCCACAAATGTTTACTGACGTATTTGCTTTGCTCATAACCTAGTGGGAGAGAAGATAAAGACACAAAGATTCACTCTGCACACCCTAGGGGAAGTAGGTTACAATTGAGGAGAGAAGAGTTTGAAGCACACAGCTGACTTCCTGGGTTCGCCACACAGGAATGAGATGGCGCCCAAAAAGAGAGGAGCATTTGCACGGCTGCCATTAGTGACAACATGTACCTTTACTATTCCTCATGCCCTAAAGATTTTTGAGGGGCTCCCTTCCTTGTAACGTTAAGGACTTGCTTGTAAAGATCACTTTCTGCATTGAGAATGTGAGGTACAATGAGAAGAGTCCCCCCCACCCACTATCTTTCTTAGTGTCCCAGACACTGGGTTTTCCTCACTGGGTTGCTGACTCCCACTGTGTGCATTGCTCCAGGACTGTGGAGCCAAACCTGGGACACCAGCCCTGATCTGGGCTTCCCTCAGCTTCCAAGATCATCCAGGCTGGTAGGTTCTATAAATTATTAATATTGTAACTGGACATCACAATTGCAGTTAGAAAAGGCTCTTTTTGACCTGGTTCTGGAACTAACCACTTTACAGATCACAAAATTAGGAGAGTCAGAGTTCCAAACAACAGCCTTACAAACAAGTTTTTGGAACAACTCAATTAGAGGTTGGGCACTGGCTGTTCTGAAGCAAAGGTTTTCATGAATGTTCTATTTACATTGGGCTGTAGCCTCATCTCAGGATTAACAAAATACCACTACTTGCTTTCCCTGATCACATGCCATATCAACTTGCAGTCACATTTATAAAATGGCAGTTCAAAATCCAGAGAAACCTGTTTTTCGGAGATGTATTAGAATGATTTGCACTGCTAAATCTCTTCTCCAAGAGACTCTCCTACTGTAATAGTCCTTTATGCACAACACTCTAAGTAGTATAGCCATGGAAAGTCCTGTTACCTGCAGCGTCAGTTTGGCTTAAATATGGATATTCAAATAAATACTATTTCAGCATACTACTATCATTTGACTTTTGGAAATCTTTGGATGGACAATTCCTGCAACCATTAAATAATCTATCTTAACTTCGATACTGGGACAATCATAGTAACCTTATTTCAATCTCCTGCAAATAAGAAACTGGATAAACTGTCATTTTTCAATGTTGATTTATATAGCTGCAGACACTGACATTGTTGAGTTTTCCCAGGTTCCAGGGTGATTCTGCACCTTCAAGTTCAAGATAAGCAAACAAAGAGAAGACTCGGGGACTTGGCACCTGTGACTGATTGCTAATAGGTCGCAGACATTCTCAGATTGGTTTCTTATTTAAGCGTGAGATATTAGCGCCCTGAAGGTGTGATGAGACTGGACGGTCTAAGAATAAGGGGCTTGGAGGTTCTAATCTCTGTCCTGAGTGTGTCTGTGCCTAAACAAATCACGTTACCTCCCTGTGTCCCCTGCACCCGCTTAATGAAGGGGCTGCACTCGACCGCCCAAATCCTGCGAGGCTCCAGGCTCACAGAGCAGCGCAGGCGCCCTGAGAGGCTGGAGGGGGGGTACCAGCCCAGAGGGCGGGAGCGCCCCGTCCCACCGCCCCACAGCGCGCGGACAGGAACGGGGTGCTCCCGGAGAGGGCGGCCGTCATTACCCGAACGCGGCCGCGGGCCCAGTCCCAGGGCCGTGGATGCCAGGCTTCCGCGCCGAGAAAGCGAGCCGCAGGACCCGTGCGCCCCGGCTGCTCACAGCCGCCTCCATGGTCCCTGCTCGCGCACCTCAGCAGCGCGCACGCGCGGGGTTCTGCCGGCTGTGCCGGCCGCGAACACGCATGCGCCGAGCTCTCAGTCAGAGTCCAGGCCGTGATGCGAAGGCTCCCCGCATCGACCAGGTCTGGCTGTAGACCCTGTGGCCCGTGGGGCTCCCGTCCCGGGATTGCAAGGTCTGGCACAGGTCGTCTTCTTTCGGGGTTCCAGCTGTGGTTCACGAAGGACACGTCCCAGTCGGCTCTACCTGTCCTTCCGCTGGTCCTGGCAGGGGCCGGGAGGGGCCGGGCGTGGGGCAGAGGCCCTCCCGAAGGCTGCTAATAGGGGCTCAAGTGCATATGCTTCCAGAATGAGGGGATTCAAGGCTTAAAAAAAAAAATTATACTGCCTCACACCCATTAGAATGGCTATTATAAAAAAAAATTAATAGGTGTTGGGGAGGGTGTGGAGAAATTGGAACCCTGTACAGTTATTGGTGGGAATGTGAAATGGTGCAGGTGATGTGGAAAATAGTATGGAGGGCGGAGGGCCCTCAAAAGATAAAACAAAGTTACTGTATGATCCAGCAGTTCCACTTATGAGCATATACCCAAAATAATTGAAAATGGTCTCAAACATATTTATATACCCATGTTCACAGCAGCAGTACAAGGCCAGAATGTGGAAGCTACCCAAGTGTCCCTTCAGGGATGAAGGTATTGTTCCACCTTAAAAATGAAGGAAATTCTGGCATGCTCCATAATATGGATGAACCTTGAGGGCATTATGCCCAGTGAAATAAACCAGACACAAAAAGTCAAATATTGTATGACTCCACTGGTAAAAGTACTCAGATTCACAAAGTAAAAGGGTGGTTGCAGGGCTGGGGTGGGGGCAGATAGGGAATTAGTGCTTAATGGGGACAGAATTTTCAGTTCTGCAAGATGATAGGAGATCTATCAAGATCATGGATATGGTGATGTAGAACAGCAACGTGCATGTACTTAATGCCACTAAACAATGCACTTAAAAATAGCTAACATGGTAAACTTTACCAATTTTTTAAAATTCTTCAGACCATATAATTCAAGCTTTACAGAGGTTATAAACATTTTCTGCAATTAAAGACTTAGTGGAGAAAAAAATGTGACCACCCCTTTAATTCTGGCTACCATTCTGTCTTACCTTACCTGGATATAACTTACAGATTGGTGGCTACTGTTTAGCTTTGACTTTTTCAAGGTGATAAGTTTCCTTGAATGTTACATTATTTTTCCTCCAAGAGACCCTTCTGTAATAGTTCTTTATGTGCAATGCTCTAAGTAGTATAGCCACGGAGAGTCCTGTTACCTGTAGTGTCCTCACTGACCCACTGGTGTGTCTTAGGCAGTAAAGTCAGTTTGGCTTAAATATGAATATTCAAAAATATTAGTATTCTTTCAACTTAAATCTACCACATCAATCTCCTGCACAGAAGGGAAGAGAAATATATACCATTCAGCAACTACTATCATTTAACTTTTGGAAATCTTTGGTGGGATCAATCAACATTTCCTTATATTTTCCTGAAGTTTTGATTGGGATTTCTTGTCAAAGATGATGAGGGGTAAAAATACTTGTGTACACAATTTTAACACCAGTTAACCTATTGATAAGCAAATCGGCAGCAATGCCGAAGTTTTATTACTGGTGTCACAATTTATTTTTAAGCACACACTTGAGAACTAGTCCTTTCTGGGTAATGCTATTGTGCAGTTTAAAAACTGTTTGTATCAAGTACCTTATAATACATTATCTTATTTTAATCCTCATGTCAACTTTATGTACTATTGCCCTCTCTAGTTACAGATGAGGACACCAAATTCAAACAGGTGAGGGAGCAGACCCTAGGAACACAGCTGAAGAGTGGCAGAGACGAATCTAAGCCTGCTGGATTTCAGAACTCTGTACTTGGATTATTACAGATACAGAATTCACGATCGCAGTATTTATTAGCCTTCCATGATTTCTTAGTAATCAGATACTTCTAAATCTTGACTATGTAAACACATATTTTTACTTACATTAGGGTAATGAGAAAAACTTCTTTATAAATAACACGTTGAAATATACTTCGAAATACTATTAAAGACATTTTCTCAGAAAGAACTCCTTTTCTTATTCCTGAAGACTTACATTATGGAACCAAAACAAAGATTGTGACCAGAGCAACAAGCGGAAAGACTGCCAAGCAAAACTGCGAGAGCTGGACGTGGGTCTTTTTTAGCAACAGTTACCTTAGGATCTGAATGTCATTTTTTGGAAACAAGTATGGAGAGTCGTTTTGCTCAGTTTGTAGTCTGTGTTAATCTCAATTGGTTTCTGCCCAAGACTAGTGTTTTTATGGTGCTTGGGCCTTGTATTAAAACTCCTCAGATACAAATTTGGCTCTTTTCAGCCTAGTTTTTAGGGAGTAGGGGCTAAAGGAAAAGCCTCTGAGCCATGTTTGAAGGACTGCAGTACTGCAGGCCCACAGGGCAGAGAGTTTTCATCCTGCGAGCTGCAACACACTGTCCACACAGGTCCTCCTCTTTTCACCATCAGCTTCGTCTCCTGCCAATAGCAGGAGGCTGAAGAGGAATGTGTACAGAAAATGCCAACCTAAGTGGTAAAGCCACAGAGGAGAATCCTAAACTATTTCATACATACAAACACACAAATCATTTCAATGCCTTAGTATAGGATTTGATATTTTATTACTATAAAGACCTTCCATTTTTTCCCTTTTAACATTGATCGTTCCATCTTAGAATTCAGTACACTGTTAGGATAGAGGTTTAGGAGATAAACATTTAGAAAAGAAATCATCTAGCCTCTTCTAGCAGAGCCTGGGATGCCTCTCTCTCCCATTCTCCTTTTGGTCTGTATGACTTAATGCTGTGTGGCAACCGAATGGTGAGCCCGGCTACGTGTAGATAAGAGAACCAAGGTTCATTACCTATGGCGGTGCTCTTCTCAACCGGGGTGATTCTGCCCTTTGAGGAAATATCTGGCAATTTCTAGAGATGTGTTTGTCTGTCACAGCTGGCGATGGGAGGAGGGCGAGAACAGTGGTATTGGCATCTAGTGGGCAAAGACGAGGGTTGCTTCCAAACATCCTAAATGAATGGACCGCACCCCCTCACCCCCCCAAACAAAGAATTATTGGGCCCAAGATGCCAGTAATGCTGACTTTGAGAAATTCCTCTTTATGAAAGCTAGCCTGACCATCCTGCACCCCTTCCTCCCTCCTTCCTCACAGGGCTAAGCATAATGGCAGACCCTCTCTGTTTAGCAAAGTGCTGGCAGTGATGCTGGGTGGTCCACTTCTAGTCTTGTATTCCTGAGTTTCAGGTGGGCTTTGAAAGGATGTGTGCTAGAGGCATAATTACCAGACTCCTTTTTTTACATCAAAGCTCACAGAAAAAAATGATGGTATCCTGGGGTAAACTGAGGAAGCTTCGAGGCTCCAGTTATAGCCAGGGATGAAGAAATCAATATGCCCCACATACATGACCCCTCTTTCAGGCACACAGGTTGGAAAACTACATAATGCATCAGAGTACTGGAAAGAACTTAAAAACTTAAGAATTTTTGTAGTTGTCAAAATGAGTGGCAATTCCTTACAACTGCCCAGAAAATTGTAATATTTTTGTTCTTTTTTCCCCCCTGCTTCTTAGTCCTCCTTAAAATCCCTTCAGTTACTTTACGGAGTAGAAATTAAACACAATTCTTGAAGCCTGTAGTGACCGATACAATATTTGATCCTGAGCTAACAGACACTATAATTTTGGAACGAACTGTGCTTGTGATACCAAAACACCTATATGAGGAGAACTTAGAATTTTCCTGTACACTGGTTAAAACAAAAGTCTATATAGAGAAGAGAGCACAACGTAAGAAAATTGATTTAGTTTACGTTCCATGAATTTTTTTTCCCTTGCTCTATCTAACAAAATGGGATGAAGAGCATAATTGAAAGTCATGGAATGAACTGACAGGAAACAGTGCTCATCAAGTATCTCTTCTCTCCTTTTCAAAATCCAATTAGGCTTCTGTTTTGATTGGGCCTTGGCCATGAACAAGTCCTCCTGTTTAGTGGGCTGTTTGCAGTTGCTCACTCTGAGATTACTTCCTGCTGCCAAAGTCTCTTGTGGAGTTAGTTCTGGTTGATGTGTATCAAATAGTTCAGAAGGTCTATCCTTGAACACTGGTAGAGTGCCCAGGCCAGCTTTCCCACTGTGGCCCCCTTGCTGCCTTCCCTCATCAGCCACTTTTGGAGCATCTGGTAAACCTTTTCTTTCAGTCCATCACGCTCATAGTCATGGTCAATTTCATCAATCTGAGATTCAGTGAAGCCCAGCTTACGGGCACAGTTTTTCCATTGCTTTCCCAGATTTTCCCTGACTGGGTCCAGGTGTTTATCCATCAGACTAGTAGTATTATCTGCCAAATAGAAAAGAGAAGAAGGCATCAAGCTGTAACCCATTTGGACATTCTAGTTTCAAAAGCCTGTGTAAAGTGAAGAAGCCAGGAAACAGTGAAAAAGATAATTATATGGTTGTTGACTCATAGGATGATATTTTACATGTCTGTAGGCCATGAGGAGTCTGTGTGTGAATTAGGAAGGGGGGCTTTTCCTCCTAGCAGATGCACGTCTGAGCCACAGTTGATGGCTTTGGGGAAAAAACTCCTTCTTGGTTACTAGGCTGTTCTATATAATCTTGACTAGTCACCCTGTTTACATTAGACCTTCCTGATGGAAAGGGGGAAAACACCATTTTTGTTTCTTTTGGGCATTTTCCACTGCCGGAATTACAGTTACTCAATTCCTCATCTCCTTCACCCAACAATTCTCTCCTTATTTAATCAAGGAAACGGAGACCAGCATATGTGAACTAGTCCAGTTACAGGCCCTTCCCTTGTCTGTTAAGGGATGAGCTCTTCAAGGGCTGTGTTTGGGCTCATCCTCTCCCCACCAAGTCCTGGCCTCTCTTCTACAGCTATAATCTCTCTCTTTCTACTCCTTCCCCTGAGTCCTTCATAAAAATAGTAAGAGGAAACAAAAGTATAAAAACAACCATATTCCTTGATCCTCATTCTACCTCAAAAAGCTGAATAGAAGGAAAACAACATCTCATTCTTTCTCTCTAAACTCCCATTCTTTTCTCAGCTCCCCGCAGTGTGGCTCCTATCACCACCACGGCACATCAGCAGTCCAAAAACCTCCCAAGACATGTGCCAGATTGTATCACTGGGAGAGGGGAGCTGGGTCTGATTCTCAAAGGCACCCCTGTCAACCCAAAAGGTAGGAACTCCTGCTCTAGGTATTTTAAAAACTATCCTTCAATAGGTTATACTAGGGGTTGGCAAACTGTGGCCTGTGGGCCAAATCTGGCCCCGTGCCTGTTTTTGTAGACAAAGTTTTATTAGAACACAGCCACATCCATTCATGCACATATTGTCTGAGGCTGTTATTGCACTACAGTGTCAGTTGAGTAGCTGCACCAGAGACCTTGGGGACAGTGAAGCCTAAAATACTTACCATCTGGCCCTTGAGAGAAAAAGGTTGCCAATCCTATGGTTAATCAGAAAGCTGGGTTCTTAAATCATATTGTTTTGGCCGCATGACTGCTCTTCCTAGGTTATGTTTTGGGATTAAGGTTATGAGCCTGAATAATGAAATCCTACAAGGGAAAACCCTCTTATTTTTATTACAGAGGGCTGTTGAGGGCATAGTCTTTTTTTTCTTTGGTATCATTAATCTACAATTACATGAGGAACATTATGTTTACTAGACTCCCTCCATCACCAAGTGCCCCCCACATACACCATTACAGTCACTGTCCATCTGCGTAGTAAGATGCTGTAGAATCACTACTTGTCTTCTCTGTATTGCACATCCCTCCCTATGCCCCCCACCACGTTATACATGCTAATCGTAAGCCCCCTTTCTTTCTCCCCCTCCCCTTATCCCTCCCTTCCCACCCATCCTCCCCAGACCCTTTCCCTTTGGTAACTGTTAGTCCATTCTTGGGTTCTGGGAGTCTGCTATTTTGTTCCTGCAATTTTTTTCTTTATTCTTATACTCCATAGATGAGTGAAATCATTTGGTATTTGTCTTTCTCTGTCTGGCTTATTTCACTTGTTGCAAATGGTAGGATTTGTTTTCTTCATATGGCTGAATAATATTACATTGTGTATAAGTACCACATCTTCTTTATCCATTCATCTACTGATGAACACTTAGATTGCTTCCATTTCTTGGCTACTGTAAATAGTGCTGTGATAAACATAGGGGTGCATATGTCTTTTTCAAACTGGGCTGCTGCATTCTTAGGGTAAATTCCTAGGAGTGGGATTTTTGGGTCAAACGGTATTTCTATTTTGAGTTTTTTGAGGAACCTCCATACGGCTTTCCACAATGGTTGAACTAATTTACATTCCCACCAGCAGTGTAGGAGGGTTCCCCTTTCTCCACAACCTCGACAACATTTGTTATTTGTATTTTGGATGGGGCCATCCTAACTGGTGTGAGGTGATATCTCATTGTGGTTTTAATTTTCATTTCTCTGATGACTAGCGATGTGGAGCATCTTTTCATGTGTCTGTTGGCCATCTGAATTTCTTCTTTGGAGAAGTGTCTGTTCAGCTCCTCTGACCATTTTTTAATTGAATTATTTGCTTTTTGTTTGTTGAGGTGGGTGAACTCTTTAGATATTTTGGATGTCAAGCCTTCATCGGATCTGTCATTTATGAATATATTCTCCCATACTGTAGGATGCCTTTTTGTTCTATTGGTGGTGTCCTTTGCTGTACAGAAGTTTTTCAGCTTGATATAGTCCCATTTGTTCATTTTTGCTTTTGTTTCCCTTGCCCGGGGGAATGGAAACTTCATGAAGAAGTTGCTCATGTTTATGTCCAAGAGATTTTTGCCTAGGTTTTTTTCTAAGAGTTTTATGATTTCATGACTTACATTCAGGTCTTTGATCTGTTTTGAATTTACTTTTGTGTATGGGGTTACACAGTCATCCAGTTTCATTCTCTTACATGTAGCTGTCCAGTTTTGCCAGCACCAACTGTTGAAGGGGCTGTCATTTCCCCATTGTATGTCCATGGCTCCTTTATCATATATGAACTGACCATATATGTTTGGGTTAATATCTGAACTCTCTATTCTTTTCCACTGGTCTGTAGGTCTGTTCTTGTGCCAGTACCAAATTGTCTTGATTACTGTGGCTTTGTAGTAGAGCTTGAAGTTGGGAAGCGAGATGCCCCCTGCTTTGTTCTACCTTCTCAGGATTGCTTTGGCTATTCAGGGTCTTTTGTAGTTTCATGTGAATTTTAGAACTATTTGTTTCAGTTTGTTGAAGAATACTATCAGTATTTTGATAGGGATTGCATTGAATATGCAAATTGCTTTAGGCAGGATGGCCATTTTAACAATATTATTTCTTCCTATCCATGAGCATGGGAAGTGTTTCCATTTATAGGTATCTTCTTCAATTTCTCTTAGGAGTGTCTTGTAGTTTTCAGGGTATAGGTCTTTCACTTCCTTGGTTAGGTTTATTCCTAGGCATTTTATTCTTTTTGATGCAATTGTGAATGGAATTGTTTTCCTGATTTCTCTCTCTGCTAGTTCATTGTTAGTATGTAAGAATGCAACAGATTTCTGTGTATTAATTTTGTATCCTGCAACTTTGCTGAATTCAGATATTAGGTGTAGTAGTTTTGGAGTGGATTCTGTAGGGTTTTTTATGTACAATATCATGTCATCTGCAAACAGGGACAGTTTAACTTCTTCCTTACCAATATGGATGCCTTTTATTTCTTTGTGTTGTCTGATTGCCGTGCCTAGGACCTCCAGTACTATGTTGAATAAAAGCAGGGAGAGTGGGCATCCTTGTCTTGTTCCCAATCTTACAGGAAAAGCTTTCATCTTCTCTCTGTTAAGTAAAATGTGGGCTGTGGGTCTGTCATATATGGCCTTTATTATGTTCAGGTACTTGCCCTCTATACCCATTTTGTTGAGAGATTTTATCATGAATGAATATTGAATTTTGTCAAAATGGTTTTTCAGCATCTACAAAGATGATCATGTGGTTTTTGTCCTTCTATTTGTTGATGTGGTGTATGATGTTGATGGATTTTTGATGTTGTACCATCCTTGCATCCCTGAAATGAATCCCACTTGATCATGGTGTATGATCCTCTTGATGTATTTTTTAATTCGGTTTGCTAATATTTTGTTGAGTATTTTTGCACCTATGTTCATCAGGGATATTGGTCTGTAACTTTCTTTTTTGGTGGGGTTTTTGACTGGTTTTGGTTTTAGAGTGATGCTGGCTTCATAGAATGAGTTTGAAGTATTCCCTCCTCTTCTGTTTTTTGGAAAACTTTAAGGAGAATGGGTATTATGTCTTCTCCATATGTCTGATAAAATTCAGCGGTGAATCCATCTGGCCCAGGGCTTTTGTTCTTGGGTAGTTTTTTGATTACTGATTCAATTTTTTTGCTGGTAATTGGTCTTTAGATTTTCTGTTTCTTCCTTGGTCAGTCTTGGAAGATTGTATTTTTCTAGGATGTTCATTTCTTCTAGGTTTTCCAGCTTGTTAGCATGTAGAGTCTCATAGTATTCTCTAATAATTCTTTGTATTTCTGTGGGTCTGTCATGATTTTTCCTTTCTCATTTCTGATTCTGTTGATGTGTGTAGATTCTCTTTTTCTCTTAATAAGTCTGGGAGTGGGCTTATCTATTTTGTTTATTTTCTCAAAGAACCAGAGGGCATAATCTTTTATTTTTTACAGAATACCTTTTGATGAAGACCTGAAAAAACTATCTGTCCTAGGTCTAAGTAGTAATATTGATGATGATATGTTTAACACCATCATAGATGTTACTATTTGCCAGGCAGTTTTAAGCTTTTTATTCATAGTGACTGACTCATTTTTATAACAAATCCATGAATTAGATGTCATTATCCCCATATTAAACATAAATAAATTACAAAGGAATTATATGGAAATTAGAGATATTTTAAAGAGGACACAGGGCAATTTTCAGGGAGAATAATCAGACACATTTTAGGATTCAACTATATTATCCCTCTTAACAATTAAGAAAGCTCAAGGTTGCTAGACAATAGGCCTTTAAAGGGTATCTTACCAAAGATATCTAGGCACTTAGAAGCTGGCTCTTCTTTCAAGTTTGTGTATATATTACTGTCCAGCGATGGTGAACTCATTCTGCCAATCTCCATATAATTATGGTCTCCAATCTGAATGCCAGTACTATTGTATATGGTATATTTTGTAGACTCATCTGAATAGAGAGAAACCACAGGTCAGCATATCTGGATTGTAAGCAAGAGAAAAAAATATAACATGGTAAAGGGACAGGGCTTTACTCCAAATGCTTAAGTTAAATTATTTATCCTATGCCACTCTTTGAAATTTTCTTCATTAAAATATGGCCCAACCACCTCATACCCATTAGGACAGCTACTATCAAAAAAACAGAAAATAACAAGTGTTAGCAAGGATGTGGAGATTCGGAACCCTCATGTGCGGCTGGTTGGAATATAAAATGGGGCAGCTGCTATGGCAACAGTGTGGAGGGCCTCAAAAACTTAAAAACAGAACTGTCATATGATTTAGCAATGCCTCTTCTCAGTATACACCCCAAAGAATGTAAAGGTCTCGAACAGATACTTATACACCTGTTGTTTAAAGCAGCATCATGCAGAATTGCCAAAAAGTAGAAGCCACACATATGTCCATCAACAGACAAATGGATAAACAAAATGTGGTCCATCTACACACTGGAATATGATTCAGCCTTAAAAAGGATGGAAGTTCTCATACAGGCTAAAATGTGGATGAAAACTGAGGAAACTGTTCTAAGTGAAATAAGTCAGACATAAAAAGACAAATACTGAATGATTCTACTCATATAAGGTCCCTAGGGTAACCAAATTCAGAAAGACACAAAGTAGAAGGGTGGTTGCCAGGGGCTGTGGGAGGAAGCAGAATGGAGAGTTACTGTCTAACGGATGCAGGGTTCCAGGTTGGGAGGACGAAGAGAGTTCTGGAGATGGACGCAACAGTGTGGTTTTCGTCACAAACAGTAGTTTTTCGTGTATATAAGATAAAAAATAAAAATACCCAAGACTCATTTCTTACCTTCAGAAAACAGCAAGCATGTGAAAGAATACAAGCAGATACCTTCACTTACAATATAGACTGGGTATAATGAGACTATGATTCAAGTGCCAGGGAAGATGCCTACAGTTACCAGGACCTGTACCCCAACACTTAAGGGCAGCTGCAATGAACCCTACCCGAAATGAACTGGTCTGATGGCAAGTGTAGACTTTGTTATCTTATAGTCTACAACAGAGCTAAATAGCTAATTTTCAGAAAAATGTTTAAAAAGGTAAGACTGTGACCAAAGGCCTGTTTACCTCTTGATGGCAAGGAGCTGAATGGAATGGTGGGTGTATTTCCCACTACGTCAGGCCCTGAGATTTTATTCAGACTCGGCATGCAGCTTGGGTTTGGCCCATACCAAACTCTTGATCCTGCTGTTCCCAGATCCAACGGTCTTGTTCCAAAACCGAGTCGACTAAATGATGATCCGTTGCTCCAGTATGGTGCTTGGGGTTGGCTGGTTAGCCCTGCTGATTGGTGCACTGCATTTCCAGGACTGGCTGCACAGGAATAGTGAAGGCCTTTTACTCCTGGGTTCTGAACATTCTCATAAGGTCTCTGCTGTGCAAAAGGGTCATGGGAGACCCTTCGTCGCCTTTCCTCCTCTCTATTGTAAGCCATGTTCCACTTGGGCTGCTGTTTTGTCTGCCTGTCCATGCGGCTCCCAAAAAGATGGTAGTTGGCTTCCTCCTGGAGTTTGCTCTGCAGGGTGAGCTCATTCTCCTCCTGCTGGTCCTCGGTGTAGGGAGCGAACCAGGACTCCTCCACGGGCCCTACACCTAGTCCCTGTGAACTGTGCAGTGAACTGGGCTGTTCTGGGGCTGAGAAAAAATGATCAACAATAGAAAGAATTTCATGAAACATTACAAAGTAAAATAGAACCTGAGCACTCTCATGAACCTGTACCTCACAGCAGCATATTAAAACCTTTGAGACCAAGTAAGAAGCATTTATTCACTAGATGATCCTCTTCCTATGAGTGACATAGGTAAAAAGCCCCTGCATGGCGGTGAGTGAGCACCAAGGACATTATAACAAGCTAAAGAAAGCAGAAAGGACCACGTGAGAAAGGGGCTTGTGCTGGAGCAGAAAGGTTCTTGTCTCCTTAGTGTGATGCAGGGGTGGAAAATAAGAGGAGTAGCAGCTCTGCACTAAGCACTTGCCATGGATGCTTACATTCTTTAAGAGCCTTGTAAGAGTAGAAGCAATTATTACAATTTGATAGATGAGGTTTACAAGAGATTAAGTAATTAGACAGCTAATAAGTAGATTCCATATTCTCTACCCAGCTTTCCTTTCTGTTATAATGAAAAAAGCAACCCTGCTGGAATCTGAGACCAATCTCTCTGCTTCTTCTCTGGACCTAGTCATCCCTGACCCTCTCTTCGCTCTCACATATGTCCCCTTCTTTTTTCTGAACATTCACTTTCTCCCTGTCAGATATATTAAGCCTCCTACAAGGATTCTTTATGACTTTGGTGAACACACTGTTATTTAATATGCCAAATATATGTATCTTGACTCCCAAATATATTAAATTTCTTTTAAGGCAGGTGTTAAGTTTTATAGCTGCTTCTGTTTCTCAAATGGTCATGGACAGTATTTTAGAGAGTAGAGTAAATGAATGAGCAAACAGAAAAGTGAATAAATAGATTTTCTATCATACTGTAAGTTACCTGAATGTGACCTGCTTGGAGGTATTGCTACACAATCAATTTGGAGAGACTGCATTCTCTTCACAATTGCATTTTCATTTGGATATTCTTTCTGTATTTAAGACCATAAATACACATTAGAAAATGGAAGAAAAGAGTCAGTTCCAAAAAATTATTAGAAGGAATCTTTTCAGAAGATAGAAATTTAACATAGATTTTGCAAGCAGTATTTTTTTTAAATAAAAAATTTTCCCAAATAGCCAGAGATAGGTTCTGATGAATGCTACAAAATGGATGAGCCTTGAAGACAGTGTGATAAGTGAAATAGGTTAGGCACAAAAAGACAAATATTGGATGATCCCAAATCTATGAGTTACCTAAAATAGGTAAATTCATAGAGACAGAAAGTAGAATAGAGGTTACCAGGGGCTGGGGAGAGGAGGGAATGGGGAGTTGTTGTTTAATGGATACAGTCTCTATTTGGGATGAAAAGGAAAAAGAAACAGATACTAGTGATGATTGCAACACTGTAAATGTAGTTAAGCCACTGAATTGTATACTTAAAAATGGTTACAATGGTAAATTTCATGTTATATATATTTTACCACAATAAAAAAAGAGAAACTTTTGTCACTAAAATATTACTATAAAAAATAGAGAAAATCATATATAAAAAGAAACCTACAACACAGTGCCTTCACTCAGAAGAAATTAACAGTTGGTATTTTCTTCAAATTTTTTTCCTAGTCATATTTGTATTCTCCTCTTTTAACAGAAAGTGCCTGTTACAGAGCTAGATGGTCATATATTCACTGAATGAACATATGAGTGATCTCGGGAAAAATGACAGAAGATATTAATTATGTGCATAGTTTATAGCACTTTGTATATTGCTTTTTACTTAACATGATAAATATTTTTATGGTATTTTAATTTAATACAAGCAATTGTTTTCTTTTTATAGTTTTTTTAATTAAGCAAAATGTATTAAGTACAAATTCCTTTTAAAAGACTCAAACTGCCCATGCTCATGGCTAGGAAGAATTAATATCATCAAAACAGCCATCCTGCCCAAAGCAATATACAGATTTGATGCAATCCCTATCAAATTACCAGCAACATTCTTCAATGAACTGGAACAAATAATTCAAAAATTCATATGGAAACACCAAATACCCCGAATAGCCAAAGCAATCCTGAGAAAGAAGAATAAAGTAGGGGGGATCTCCTCCCCAACTTCAAGCTCTACTACAAAGCCATAGTAATGAAGACAATTTGGTACTGGCACAAGAACAGAGCCACAGACCAGTGGAACAGATTAGAGACTCCAGACATGAACCCAAACATATATGGTCAATTAATATTTGATAAAGGAGCCATGGACATACAATGGGGAAATGACAGTCTCTTCAACAGATGGTGCTGGCAAAACTGGACAGCTACATGTAGGAGAATGAAACTGGACCATTGTCTAACCCCATACACAAAAGTAAATTCAAAATGGATCAAAGACC